GGTTTAGCGGCTTAGGGTTTAGGGGCTTGAAGCTCTAAACCTAAAGGTTTGATCCTACACCCCGAATCTCACGCCCTACAGCCACGACACGCCAATCCCTAATAATCCAAAAAACCCAACCCCACACCCCAGACGCCAAAACTTCAGAACTCTGCACCCCAACCCCTAAGTCTAGAACTCCAAGGTCCAAGACACTAAGTCTTAACCTCACGTTCGACGAGAATTTCTTGACGGGTCCGTTCCTATATTCACAGTATATTCTACCCCCAAAACTCCATTCACCTACAGACCGAAGGGTTTTTCAAAGCCACGGACAACGATGTAACCCAAAAGTTAAGCCCTGACAAATAGTTGCGCATAATAAGAATAAGGGTCCTTTTAAGGGATCCATAAGGCTACTATAAGGGTAGTTGTCAAAATTAGGGTCCCGTTTTGGGTACCCTAAATATTAGGTGCCGTATTATAGTAAGGACCCAAAAAGGTACCATCATTTTGACAACCACCCATAAAGGGCTTAGGGTTTAGTTAAGGGAGTAATAGCGGGGCCTAGGGGCCTTAGAAATTAGAATAGGGTGCCTTTTCAGGGTTCCTTAAAAAGAGCTCTATAAGGGATGTCTAAGGGCACCTTGATAATCTTAATAGGGTTTTGGGGCCCATTATACTATGACTACAATAAAGAGTTAATTAGAGTTCATTGCTAAGGATGAAAGACCAGGGCTTCCAGGTGTGTGAGGTTTAGGGATGCGCCTACCTGCTCGGGGGCTTGGGATGAATGATGAATGGTCCGGGCGCCGTCGGGCTGAAAACAACATCATACATGCGCGCCTCCCGCCGGCGATAGCGCTCGCTCATCCTGTGGCTTCATGCGCTACTTGGAGATTCATGGGTAGTTCTAGGCGGGGTTATAACTAAGGAAACTGTAGTTAAAACCCACATCAGGGGACTTATAACTCCGCTTATTATAACTGCCCATGAACCGGCAAGTAAGCTGCGGCAGTTGTATGCTTTGGCGCCCCGGCGAGTGTCGGGACCGCGATCGGTTTTCAGGCTTCAATGTTTAGTTCCTGGGATGTTCAAGTACGAAGTACCTCCCCACCAACCAGGTGAAATAGTAACAAACAGGAGCAGCACGTTAGTAGACACCATCCTCATGGAGCATACCGATGCTCAGACCCAGCTATGGCATGCGGTAAGTCTGGCAATTCGCCATAGATTTGATGCCTTACGATTGGGGCCTAGTTTGCAATGAGGAGTCAGGGGCTGTGGACGCACGATGTAGGCAAACAGGACACAGAGTTCGGTGGATCAGGAAGGTTGAGGTTGAAGCTTTCACAAGAACTCGCACGTGACCGCAAGAAAATGGGGCCCCAAAAAAAGCACATAAGCAAAAAACAGGATAGGGATGTCCCATATAAACCCCTTATACTGAAGCCCAATGAGGTAGGGTATCCCCAAAAAATGCTTGTGCTTATGTGCTTTCTGGGTCCCTAAGCTAAAGGTTTGGATGCAAAGGATCTCGACTGAGGGCGGCAGTTGTAAGTGATGGCCTCGATGCGTTTACGTTCTTACCGTCTGAAGACTTTTTGCTGATGCACATTGAGTATTCTAGGAGTGGGTTTTCTCAACCCGTTAAATCCCAACATCACCGCCAAAGCCACTATACAACTCAAGCATACACTGCATAAGCCCGAAAGCGTGACCGTTGTTAAACCCTCAAACCCCTAAACCGCCAATCCTGAGCTCGTCTAGCTCCACAACTCAAAGCTACACTCCCAAAGCCCGGCAAGTCAAGGCCGGCCTCTGTGTTAAGGCAGTCGCAACATGTGACCATTGCCAGCTACAGTGCCATCACTGGCTAATTTGTTCTAGCGGTAGGGCCTCTACACCCTGAACCTTGCTATCAGGATACGCTGCATACTGGAGTATCAACACCATAAACATGGAACATGATCTGACTGTGCCAGAAGGTCGTAACTCAAACTGAAAATGCTGGATGCAGAGCTTGGTGAGGGTTTGGGAGGGCCTGTTGAGAATTCTTGGTGCTCAAGAACGTGGTTCTCCAAGCTTTGATGGGGGCCAAACCCTGGGTTTCGGTGGATTCCAGCGAAGTTCTCATGCCTGACTTGGCTAGCACTCTGAGCACGAGCAGGAGGCTTGGGACGCGGCCGTGATTGCTGGGTGTCAGCTAGGTGCCTGAACGATTAGAATAGGGGTTTCGGGAATCCTAAATTGTTATAACAGTATAACTATGGCATCAAGGCCGTCAACGGAACACGAGCAGTACTGTTTTGACCCCCTAGCCTATAGGGATTGATGCGCAGGAACTACTGTCTTGCGCAAGGCTTTCTAGGTTGAGGAATCAGGGGGCAAGAAACAGCGATGCTGAAGTGCTAGCTGGATTCTGGCTCAGGGTTTAGAGTAAACCCCATAAAGTTCCCTATACATTACTCTTAAGGATTGAGGGTATGGGGGTCGTCTCGGTTGTCTTGATCGTCATCCTCGTCGTGGTCGCGATGGTATGTATGTACGTAAGTATGCATGTATGTATGTGTGGTGAGCTCTATATGTCTGTATGCGGATGGTGCACAACCATATATCAACCTGATACGTGATGAAAAATGTGGAGGATCTGTGATGCCATAATCATGTAGGTACACCGAAGGCATGCGCTACTGCAGTGATATAGCCGACTATGAGGGACTAGTCTTTTCCAGGACAACACCAGCCGGGGCAGCTCTTTTAAAACTGCTCGCTGCAAGCTTCAATCGAAAAGCTGTAAAATTGAAAATGCCTGGCATATGCTTCGCAGATCCTCTGGAAACTGCCGGAAAGCTGGCCGGGACGAACTACGGGTTGTGCCCCCGAGATCTTCGCCAACCCCGCGTTGTCAACGTGCCAACGGCCGCTGTACTGAGCATCAACGTCGGTAGTTTAAGGTCTTAGGAGTTTGATTGACTTGATTTTAGTAGGTTGTGTTGATTTCCGTTGATGGACTTCAGGGTGCTAAGGTCTTGGATTTATTGTTAGAGTTCGGGGCCTCGGGTCAAAGGTCTCAGGTGCACGAAGCATCCAGATGTCCTGTGGGAGCGCAAGTCGAACTCCCATGTGTTCACACAAGTCTTACTATAGTATTATTCGTGTTGCTACAAATATTAGTATGATGAGCTTTAGTGTTCGTACGAGCAAAAACGTATTAACTAAAAGTATACAACAGCGCTGGAAAAGCAGAGGCTCTGGCAGCCGAAGGGAAGTGGCATGGCTGGCTGTCTTAAAGGCCAGAAGTCTCAGAAGTCGCTGGCTCGCAGGTGCTGCAACTTGCTAAAGGGGCCTTATAGAGTTTTGGGGTATATCATACCATAATAATGTAGCAAAGAAACCCCCCAAAAATAGGTAAATTTTGAAGCTAGTTATTGAGGCCCTATATTATGTATACTGAATGCCGGCAGTGTGCTACATGTTTCTGGATGATATGGAAACTAGTCTAGCTTCGAGCTCTGCTGCGGGATAACGACAAGTAAGGAAATTCACCTAGGGGAAGTATCTCCTTTTCGAGAATAGTGGCGCTTGCATCCCGCAAACTGGGACACGAAGCTACCCGTGTAAGAGCTTGCATGGAAGGCTAGTTGCACGCAGCTTCATGACAACATCTAAGTAAAATTCGAAGCCCTCGGTCTCGATGCAACCTAAGGATCAACACTGGTAAAGTATCAGCAAGCAGTTGGGCTTGTTCTACTGGTACAGTAGAGAGCGCATTTTGAAGATTCTAGGAAAGTAGCGACTACACATCTACAAACAAATCGATACTACGGGACTCGAGAGGAATCCAAACCCTCAAACCCTAACCTTAAATCCTTAAATCCTGCCTGTCCAGAGAATCATACTTGAACTAAAGGTCATCCGCCGGGATTATGCGGGGATTGTAGTACCCCCCAGAAGGGTACAGTTTCTACTACCACTCTAATGCAGGGACCTTACAATTACCTATACTATTTTAGGGGCTTCTTATTATAATCATAGAATAATGGGCCCAGAAACGCTATTCTAATTATTAAGACCCCTAGATTATTATAGAACCCCAATTACTATAGATCCCTTATAGACCCCTCCCTTTGAAGGAACCCGACTCTAATTATTAAGGCTGCTACAGCAACCCGCGAGCAGCCGACTTCAGCGACGCAAGCGGACGACGCGCTGCGCGATGCGTCGGAAAGTCCAGCCGTAGTGCCATGGGGGGCAGTCCACTGGCCCGGCGGCGACCTGGATTTGCACAGTGGGGGTTAGGAAATTCATGGGTCAGGACTCAGGGCTTAGGACAAGAGGACCGCTTAGCTCTCCGCCCGTTCGCCACATTAGGCAGTGGATGACGGTTTTGAGAATCCGATCAAGAACAGTATGCCGTTCCTGATGATGTCCCGGATCATGCTAAAGGTCGTGCGGTCGACTGCGAGTGGACGACGATCATGCTGCAGGCGATGGCAGACTTTGCTGCTCACGAGCACAACTGAACCATGAGGATGGTCAGGTATGCTTCGAACGATAAGGGTCCTCAAGGCGAATTGGTTCAGGTTGTAACGTGTATGACGATGCTGACATGCATGACCATGAACTTAAGTGTGACGATTTGGATGCCCGGAATGCTCAACTGTGGCCGGACTTCTCGAAAGCGAACGTGCAGCACCATCTCCACCCGACCCAACACCCTAAACTCAAACGCCTAGCTGCTGTTCGGGAAATCTGGAATGACCGTTCGGATGATTCGGATACATTCCTTTTCCCACCATTGCACTCGCTCTCTCTCTTTCTGTGTCTTTCTCTCTCTCTCTCTCTCTCTCTCTGTCTCGCCCTCTCTCTCTCTCTCTCTTTCTGTCTCAGTCTCCCTGTCACTCTCTGTATGTATGTATGTGTATGTATGCATGTACGCGCTTGTGTGTGTGTGTATATGCACACATGTACACACATTCATTCATTCACTGGCACTCAGAGGTTGGTTCGCGGCCTAATTACTTGCAAGGGCATGCTCCGACCCCAATAAATGGGCGAGCAATCGGTGTGCTCCAGAAGTCCGGCGCCGCAATGACCTGTACGTTTGCTCCCTCTAGGAGCAGTCGCCATGCGGTTCTAAGACTCTCCGGCACAAAACGCGAGAGGGTGTCGCTCACGGCTGCATTCACCGGGCCATCCCTGACTAGAGCCTGCGCAGCTTCCCAGGTTTCTATCAGGACTACAATGGGCCGGTTTCCGGTCACGTAGGCGACTCTCACTTCGCTCAATAGCCTCTCCCAGCTGATCTTCTGGACGTCTTTCAAGAACTTCGTGGACACTAGCCCTTCAGCTCGGCAGATAGGGGTTCCACGCCTCCGCTGCTGCACATTGCCGAAGTCGCTAAAGAGCTCAACGAGCTTTTGAAGTTCTGCTTCCGTCCAGAGATCCCCCTCACCTTCTGCCCCAACGATTCCGAGCTCCTCGATGAAGGTCACAACGAGGGACTGTACCTCGTCGGGGTAGAGGGGGTGGATGCCAAAGGCCTTCTGCGGAAAGTCCCCTGTGGCAATCTCAGCACGCCTGTTGTCGGGGTCGAGCAGGATTGCTGAGATGTGGTCGTAAGTAGCCCGCATGGCCTCACTCCAGGGGTCCCCCGCGATCTCCGGCAATCCTTCGGACACCTGACAGGGCACCGCAAGAGTGTATTGCTCATTGTCTCGTTGTTGCCAAGCTCTGCTGCCTACTCCATCTGGCGGTTCTGAGGACTGTTGTGCTTTATGCAATCGTAGACGTCGTACACATTGTGGGTGGTCCCGCAGGTGAATGGCTAGTCTATTCACCGACCAATACTGACGACCGCATGCTTGACAATGCGTTCCACTGACAAAGCCGCGGTATGCAGCTCTTCTCCCGTGGCTCTTGAAGAAGTGCACACTCAGCCGAGAGCGTGTGGAGAAGGTGCGGTCGCACATCAGGCATGTCCACGGGGCTTCAAGCTGTTCCTGACATGGCATACTCTTGATGGCTTCCTGATACATCCACCAAAGGCCAAGCTGGGGCGCTTGGTCCTGCTTGTAGGATCCAAAGTCCTCAGCAGTACGCTGGGCCACTCGTCGCTTGAAGCGGCGAGGATCCTCTCGTAAGTTTCGCCACCATTCAGGCCATGAGGCTTCCTGACAAGGGGGCCAAGCCTCACGCGCACCCTCGATGACCCACAGTAGGTCCTTCTTCACACATTCTAGCCAGCTACCCTCAGCTTGGAGCATGGCCCAAAGCTGCGGCGGACCTCTCAGAGCGATGGACAAGAGAAAGCTCAGTCTTGATTTCCTTGCAAACATCCCAAAAGGTGGGCTGTCGACTAGGATGTGTATCAAAGGGCCCGGTAATTTGAAGATCTCCTCATCCGTGAAGGCATTTGTGAGGAGGCGTCGGAGGAGGCGCATGTAACCTCCTTCCAGCTTGTCCCACTCAACACCTCCAGGCACCCACAAGGCCGCATTGAAGAAAGTAGGGCGGACAGCCGCCTCAAACACATCTTTGCGCGCCGCCAATGAAATGGTGCGGTTGTTCAGGATAAGGGTCTTTGCGGCGTCATACGCTGCCGTGGCGATGGCCAATCTTCTTCGCGCCTCCGCGGCAAGGCAACCCCGGTGGTCGAGCAGGCCACCCAAATGTGTGTACGTTGGAACGGTTTCAACATGGAGCGCCAAGTCAGGCAAGTAGATCTTCGAACCTCCCTGTGGGAAGTAGTTTCGCTTAGCCTGCTGTACACCGCGGCCTACAAGGCGCAAAAGGAGCGATGTTTTGCCCCTTTTCACATTGGGCTCCATACCCAAGCTTTGGCAGTGGGCAATGACAATCGAAGACAGGCGTGCCGCCTTCCTGAGCAATATCCCCGGCTGGGCATCAATCAATGGAAATGCACTGTCATCTGCCCAAGTGCCGTCCTGAATCAGGACCGGATCCCCGGTGTGCCCTTTGCCGTACAAGCCCGCTGCTCCATCGTAGAGGAGGTTGTCAAAGAGACCCTCCCCTGTAGCTACCTCGGTGATCTGCTGTAGAACTCGTTCGTAAGCAAAACCGAAGACAAAGTCGGCGAAGTTCTCGCCTGGACGAGAGCCGGCTTTGGTGACACACACCCGGGTACCGTCTCCGTAGCAGGTAGAAAACCATGCCACTCTGTGGAAGTCTTTGATGACATGGCGAATCTCGGCGGGGACTCCACCATCCTGCATGATCCCTCCCTGCACTGTCTCCTTGTAGAGGGCGTGGATGTCCTCTGGGGGGATGTTGAAGTAGGCGAACAGCTTCGCGATGGCAATGTCCTCCGTGATCCTTCCCATGCATATCTCCCGACATACACGATAGTACGCTTGCCTCGTGTCGAGGAACAGGACGCCAAAAGAAGATTTTTGTCTAATGGCCCGTCGGATGTGGCCAAGAATCAGCATCGCAGGGAAGGTAACTGGTGCTCCTTTCTTGGAGCCCAGGTGCAGGGCGTGAAATGCCTCTTGCGGAAGATCACCTACTTTGGTCTTGTACATCTTGTGCAGGCACTTGCCGAGGAGGTTGGAGACGTAGAGAGACCGGTAAGCTTCTGGACGGCTAGCATCAGATTGTCCCTTCCATGCATCGTACAACAATCCACCTCGCCAGTGAAACGGTTGTTGCAGGCGGGCAACTGATTTCAGCATCAGAGCATGGACAGCCCTGGACATCTCCGCAGGCACTGCTCGCAGCAGTTCTGCAGGTACCATATCTGGTCCTGTGGCTTTGCCCTTAGGTAGGGATCGCAGAGCTTCTTCGACGTCCAACGGGGATGGGAGCTGCCGGAGCTCCCACTCAAGTTCCTGGTCCTGGATCACAGGCGGCTGGGGCCGCTTCAAGAGATCCTTGAGCAGGACAATGTCTCCACACTCTTGCGCTCCGAAGTGGCGTAGCCACAGCGCGTCACGACCAGTCTGGTCCACTACAGGCTGGTCCTTTTCATCAAGGAGTGTAGGCAGGCGGCGACGAAAGGTCTGCTTTTCTTTCCGGCCTAATCCTGCCCGCTTGAGATTCGCAAGCATACGATTGGCTCCCGTTTGTGGGTCGTATCCCTGCGCTGCCGTCTGGAGGAAGTCATTCTTGGCCCGCCGAATGCCCTTCTTGGCTAGGAACGTGGCGGCCTTCACTGCTGCTGCAAACCACCCGTAGAGCAAGTGGTGTTTGCGAACCGCGGCCAAAAGTAGGTCACTGCCAGCTCCATATCGCCAGCACAGAAAGGCTGCCTGAAGCAGGACACGCCATCCACGACGCATGTGCCCCGTCCGCTCCTTCAAGGCGAGCTTACTCGCACGAGTCTCCCACACGTGGTCGGGCACAAAGGAAGCCCGTGGGGCGTCATTGGGCTTTCTGAAATGCTCCTCGAGCAGGCCATGTAAGTGATCAAGTAGATGCTGGCAATGATGGTCAGGGTGGAGTGACCAGTCCGGGGGCCTATAACCCCTAAGGCTGTCAGCAATGACCCGTCTGCCTTCAGCTGATCCCATTTTCTCGCGGTCATAAGAGGATCGCCGGAGTCTTGACTTACCGCCTGTTCGACACCGAGCCTGGAGGTGAAGCAGGACTAGGTGGTGGTCCTCATTAGGATTCATAGTGTCGAAGTCATAGCGGACTTCACTGACAAGGCGAGAACACTCCGAGGTCCCCCCCAGAAGGATGTAGTCGATTCTATGGCGCCCGCCAGAGGGATGGCAATAGGTGAAGCTATCACCTCGATGCAGAGAGCAATGCGTAGCTGGCGCCCAGATTCTCAAGCCTTGGCAAAATCTGGCGAGGCGATTCCCCGCTTCATCTGGTTCCCCATGGCCCAGATCACCAGAAACTTGTGGCCATCCGGAAGGGAGCCGCGCATTCATGTCAGCTCCAATGACTAACAAAGTGGCAGACTGGTATTGACTCAGCAGGCCTTCAAGCTCATCAAGAAATCGCTGGCCTTCCTCTCCTTTAGCTGCGTGGGGGCAATGCGCGGAAACTAGCACAATTTGGAGTCCCCCAATCCTGACCTCGAGGATCAACAAACGCTCAGTTTCCGCCCGAATAGCAACCTCATGCGCCCCAACAGTCAACGGTTTGCCATCAACCGTGAGGATGCCACGCCGGCGATGGACCCATAGGGCTACACCCCAATGTCGCAAACCCTCCGTCGCCAACCGCATGTACAACTTGGAGCAGCAGAACGAAGCAGACTGTTTTGTTTCCTGCACCATTACAATTTGGCAACCCAGGGCCTCTAATTGTGCTTCGTAGAAGGGGTGCTTGCCGTGCATGCCTTGCGCATTCACAGTGGCAACCTTCAACTCAATCTCGGCTGGCCGCTGCTCGGTGCCCCATTGCTGAGCTTCGACGGGGAGTACTTGGTCAGGTCGGAGTGGCGGGGCTGCAGCAGGGAGCGGTGCAGAGCTCCACACCAGAGCACCATCTCGAACTGGCAGGCTTCCATCTGCAGCTCCACGTTCAGCAGCTGCCAACCAGCCCAGGTCATTCACGAGAAAGGTCTGGCACACTTCCTTCGGAGGACGTGCCACAGCCAGGCTACCACTAGCCCCTGCTTTGGCAACGGTATCCGCAAGTTCATTCCAGGGCTCTCCTTGGTGTGCGGCAACGTGATGAAACCGAATCCCTCCATTCAATCGGTTCCTCGCCAAGAGCTCAAGTGAGTGGATCTTGGAGGCAAACTCGTCGGTGGGGTTCCAGTCTCCATTGGCAGCCCAGCCTGCTGCCATGCAATCGAAGTGGCAATAATGTGCAACTCCAGGGAACGAAGAACTCGTCTGCAAGCTCCACAGGATTGCAACGGCGAGGGCGACCTGTTCACATCGCAATGCGGCAGGGCCATCACTTGGCCAGGTAGGGCCACAGGGGTCCTCTAGAGCCCCACCAATGAGGCCAATCAAACTGCTGGCGAGGCCGATACTCAAGAGAATGACGACTCCATATCCCTTACGGTCGCCTGGTCCAGCTGAGCCGTCCGTGTAGACATGAAAGGCCACCGGCGTCGAGGGTCCGATCTCCTGTAGCGCCTCAATCCAAGGTGTTAGCTCAGCAAGTCCTCGCTTGGTGGCCTCGTGGAGGTTGAGCTGGGCCACATCAAAGAAGATATAGTCCGCCGTGGGCCAGGGGCGCGAGAAGGCGTCTCCATTGAGGCTGCCGTGAGGGAGGGGCACCTGGTGGTCTGTTAGGTCATAAACCGGGACCTGCACAAAGCTGCTCAACTCAAGGACTGTTTTGGCATCTGCTTCTTCGGCGGCAGCAGGTTCTCTCGGTGACCGGCTGCGGTTGACAGGTTCTGGAGGTGGCGGTCCGAAAGGCCCAGGGCCTTGAGGCGGCATCCCCTGGCCTGGGGGTTCAGGGTCTATATCTGAAGTAGATCCGTCACCAGCATCTGGATCACCCCCCTCCTCACTGTTGCCCGAGCTCTGGGAGCCGCTTGTAGATGTGGCGAGGGCAGCTGTAGGCCTCATCACCACAGTAAGCGTCTCCCCGTCGTAGATGTCGATCCATCCTCCACCTCTGCTCTGGCCTCCTTGTACGATGATGCTGAAGCCCTCGACTGCTTCCAATTCCAGGCTCTCAACATAGTCTCCCGGGTGGAAACGGCCATTGTCCGTGGCAGTCCAACAGAAACCTCGGCCAACCGCCCGGAGGTCCAAGAAACCGATATAGGTCCGATCCCTCGGGTGTTCCGTGGGGTCAACAACAGCTATGACTGAATGAACTCTGCGCCCTCCAATGTACATTCTTTCCGGACGGTGTGTTGGTGCCCGCAGCCAAAACTCACTGTGCTCAAGCCCAAATAATCGGCCAGCGACTATGACTGGGTTGGAGGGGCTGGCTCTGTTCACCTCATGCAGAGCTGACCTCTCCTCCATCTGGAATTCAACAAAACGCCCTGGCAAGTTGCCAGGGTGTGTCGTATCCGGGTTCCACAGGTCACCGTCATCATATCTTTCGGTGATGTCACTGGCCCATTCTACCACATCTCCACGTCTAAGGATCTTAATCAGCGTTCCATTTCCAACCCAAACATACGCATCGTGTGCCATGGGGACCATGGAGCCGCCAATGTAAACCTCAACGTCGTCATTGAAATCAAGTCTCGCGTGTCCCAACACAAATCTCCTCGAGACTTGGCCTTGCGCGAACACCGAGAAAAGTCCACGGTTGAACCGACGGGCATCAATGACAACCGCTTTATTGCTTGTGGCAAGGAGGCCTGCAGGCAGCAGCAGGTAGCTACCATAGTCCTCGTGGATCTGGGGCTGCAGGGCGACCGTCTCAGTCAGGTAGTCAGTGCCCAGACCCCGGGAAGCATCAACGATGATGTCACTCAAACTCTGCCCAGTAAGGGGAAACATCAAAGCAACATCTAATCTTTCAGGCTCAAATCCTGGACTTCCCACCCACAGCGAGATATGTGTGGTTCGAAGGGCATCAGCCTCAATCTCGTGGAACTCAATGTCCTCCTCGCCATCCGAAACCTCATCGACCGGTTCAGGCGGGTTCTGCTGGGCTCTGGGTGGTCCAGTTTCATGGACTCGGGACGGCATGACTCCTCCACTTTCGACTCTGAGCCCGTAGTCCCTGTCCCCGGAGCATAGGAGCAATTGCTCCCTGGGTGTCAACTGGCCCGCCGCCCAAATTTCTAGATCAGTCGGGTGGCGCCAAGAACTGCCTTCCACAGGGCCAGGAGCACGGCTCGAGGAGCTGTGTGGCGCTCCGTGGGCCGGGCTCCATATGCCAGCGATAAGGAGACCTCTCATCATCCAAGGCATCTTGGCCCGCCTGCCCGGCATGCTCCCAAAGGGCCGTGTTCGCCGGCAGTAACAGACCATCAGCATGCCACTGGCCACGCACCATATAACCCGTAAGGTGTTGCCAAAACTCACAACACTCTGTTCCACAGTCTCCGCCAGGAAAATGACAATGTCCCGGAGGATCGGCATGACAATGGCAACAACGTCCATAAAATCGTAGATCCTGCCGTAGGAGGAGGCATTGGAATAGAACATCTCCTCAATTGTTTTCAGCTCTCTCCGTGCCTCTTGGGGCGATCTGGTGGACTGACCGAAAAAGCCACCAATCTTGAGGTCTCCGGCCTCATCATACGATAGTCTCGGCCTGTGCGGCAAAAGGCCGCCCCACTCGCCGTACCATCCTCGCCCACGTTCACCACGGTCTACTCTTCTCCCGCCGCGGTCCTTGCGCGGAGGTCGCTCAAGATGTCCGCTTCGTCCGACTCGCTGTCGACCACCATGGACTCGGTCAGGGCTCCTTCCCTGGCCTTCTCGAGCTTGTCCGCTAGGGTCCTGCCGGTCTGCGGGAGGGACGGGGATCGTCCCTGATTTTTGACTGCCACCCGAGGCTGCCCAGCTTTGGGTCGCACCTTGCTGTGATCCGGCTGCAACAATCGTGTGCTGGGAGATGCCGGGTAGGGTTCCTTGTTCGGGACTTCCGCTTCGTAAGAAGGCACTTTGCGGGCCTCCGAGCCTTCCGCCTGAGCAACACGAGTAGTCGCTGGAGGCGTCATCTCCGGGGCCCGGGCGGTCTTTGCAGGTGGTGTTGAGGCGCCATCCCCGCCGGGTGCCTGGATCCCCAAGGCTTCCATCATTTGCCGTCTGGCTGAATCGCGAAGAGGGGCTCCATCTCGAATCGCTTTGGCAAGTAGGCCAGGTAGGTCTGCCACCGGGTTCTCGGCGCTGGCCATGAGCTGTGTCCACTCTGCCTCCGCCTCCTCGTCCTTTTCCACAGGAGCCGTTGCTCTCGAACGCTTGCCAGGGTTCTGGAAGAGGTCCTGCAACTCCGCGATGGCTTCCTCCTTCATCTGCTGCTGCTCCGTGGCCTCCGTCTGGATCTTCTGGAGGCGGTCGTAGTACCTCGTCCTTTCGCGGATAAAGCTCTGCTTCATCTCGACTTGGAACCGCTCCCATTGGCCCTTGGCAGCTTCCTTGTCTGCCTCCCCTTTTCGCATCCGGCCATCTGCGCGGCGGATCGTGTTTGCCAAGCGCTGGATGTAGCGGGTGAGGCTTCCCGAATCTCCTGTGTCTTCTGCAGCAAGAGTCCAATCCACCTCTGGAGTTGGCTGTGGCTTCGCGGCACGATATTCCATGGCCTCGTAACTGGGGAACTTGTAGTCCGCCGCGTCTCGGTTCTTCCATGGTTGCTTGTTCTTGCCCTTGTTGCTGCCCTTCTCGTGCCATCCATAGTACGCTGATGCCGAGGATCGCGAGGTATCCTGCCATCCATCGCCGTTGCCACCCCATTGTGGCTTCTTGCCCATGTGTCGGGCTTCACGGTAATACGGTCTGCTGTGATGTTGAATCAGCAGCCGCAGATCGCGGGCAGAGGGCTGAAGGCCTTGTGTTCTGGCCTTGTGTATTCGGCCCCTTGCGGCCGATCGGCTAGCTCGTTGTCGACGATGCCAGCCTGGGGATCGAGTCCCGCGCCGCAGCCCAATGGCTGCAAAAGGCGTGCCTAATTGTTCGGCACTGGGGCTGCCGGCTATAACTGCAGACTTAGCTGCAGCCTCGCTCCGAAACCCTATGTACACACATATGTATATATATATATATACACATACATACCCACACACATAAATACACATGCACACCCAAAGAGGCCGGATGAGGGCTCCTTACCTGCTGATACCACCGAAGCGCCGCAAAACTAAATCCCGAACCCTGAGCCTTGGTGACCACGGCACGTTTCGCTTTGCCAAAGTTGCCCCGAAACCCTAGGGGCCTTGATATTTAGAATATGGTTTTGGGGCCCAGTATACTATAATGAGAGTCAGGAACCCCACAATAGTATAGGGAACTATTTAGGCGCCTATAGTATACTACCCTTCTGGTAACCCTTATAAACCCCTTTTAAGGAACCCTATGATCCTGACTACTACGGGCTGCAGAACAACTCTGGTGTCGGGCCCTGCCTCGAGAAGACCTGGCGGCCAAGCTCTGAAGGTTGCGTGTGGAGGCGAGGGGGAAGGAGTTGGGGGCTGATTGCCTAAAAATAAGGGCCTAAATAATTGCCTAAATACTTTTTTTGGGGGTTCCTTATTATATATCATTATAGTAGAATTGCTTAAAGTAGGGGCCCAATACTTGCCAATACTATTTAGGGGGTTCGTTGTTTTCATTATAGTATAATGGGCGCCCAAACCCTGTTCTAATTATTAAGACTCCTGTAGTATGCTTCAGGAGTTTGCATCTTTTGCGGGCTCAGGGCTTCAGGATTTCTGGGGCCCTAGAAGCAGGTTTTGGGGCCTAAAGCCCCATGCTTCGATGTTCGGATCAAAACCCCAAAGACCCAAAACTCATGCACATACCTTAGGGGCCTTAATAATTAGAATAGGGTTCCCTTTGAAGCGGTCTATATAAGGGTTACTATACGGCATCTATAAGGGTACTAGAATATAGGGGCCTTGATAATTGAAATAAGGTTTTGGGGCCCATTATACTATAGTGATAATCAGGAGCCGCCACAATAGCACAGGTAACTATTTAGGCCCCTATACTAACGGAAGTGAGGGGTCAGGGTTCACTGGGCAGTTCAGGAATTGAACATAAGTGTGGTCTTTCCATTAACTGCTGATTGTCTCTGTTCCAATCAAACTGCTTACAACCCTGCGCACACCCGTCTCCAATATAAAACTCTCTGGAATCTACTCTAGCATACATCTGACAAGACCAGTTGCCACCCTACTGTCTTCGCTGAACTGCTCATGTAAACACCCTACACTAGGCACCTGCGGAAACAGCCCTATAACACCCATCAAAACTCCAGAACTAGGTCGGCCCACAATACCCGAAAACGTCAAGCATCCCATCTCCTGAGCTAGCAGAAACAGAAACCCTTTACCACAGACCGAAACTCTAAACCCCTAAACCCTGTAATGTAGGTGCCTTAATAATTTTAATAGGGTTTCGGGGCCATCATACTATACTGATAAGGAACCCCCGAAATAGAATAGGTAATTTTATCCAGGCCCCTATATTACGCCAAACTCCAAACCTCAGCTCGGACCAACCGCGAACGATCCCAGCCAGACCTCCCCAGGGCTCCAGTTACCTAAATAGTGGGTTACTAACCGTATATCATATATCCCAGAAACCCTTAACCCTAAACACTAAATAGTAGGCTACTGACCGTCTAGTGTATATCCCAGTAGCCTACTATCTGAGTAACTGGAGCCCTAGGGCCTGTTTCGACAGCCCACTGCTTGAGCTGCTCGGGTCCTGCGTCGGAGCTCGAAGCTTGTGCTTGGGGTTTCGGCTTTAGGAGCGTAGGGTTTAGGTTTAGGCTTAGAGGTTTAGGGCTTGTTACTTCGATAGAGGTTTAAGAACGAAGGTGGCTTACAAAGATTTAATTATGGGGTGTTGCAGGGTTTTGAACCGCTTGTCTACAAGTTTTCCCGGTCCTGGGTTTCACATAGGGGGAAGCAGGGATACGTAGAGCGTTTGGTTTACGGCGGTGCCGGTGTAGGGCGGCAGAAAAAATTGCAATAGTCGTGCTGCTGTCAACACCAGCATTTCTTTTCTTCATGGCAACTGTTGGACAATTGTTGGATATATCATGGCGATTCGACAAGATTTGCGACCGTAAAGCTGTCGCGAAGAAGATGCTGAGCCCCCTCCCCCACACGACCTCCAAGGCGTCCCCAAGCCCAATTCTTCAAGAGATTTTGAGAGCTTACAGCGCTGTGAACGATGTTTGCATACTACGACCAGTCTTATTATGTTGTAGAGCTTGTCTTAGGTCTTAGGCTCTCATTTTCAGTGGTACCATTACGCCGCATCCTTGTGCTGTGATATCTGGCTCCTGCACATCCCAATCGTCAAACCATAGTGTGAAAAGGGATGAAAAGAGCTTGGGGTCCAGGGGCTTCAAATGGTTGAAGGGTGCAGTGGCTGGGGGTTTACGTCCGGGGTTGATGGGTTTACGTTTGGTCTACAGTTTAGTTCTAGTCTACACTTTAAAGGTTCGAGGGTTCAGGGTTCAAGGAGTTGGGTCTAGAATATGGGAGTGTGAGAGCCAGGGTTAGGGGCTGGCGGCCTTGATCGGGCCCTTCGGGGAGAGAGCCCTGGGCGCCAAATCAGATCAGTTCCCATTCCCCCTCTCCCCCGCACGAACCCTGAACGCCAACTGCTGTACCCCAGACTCATACACACTAAACCCTAAACCCTGGCACTCAAACCCTACGCCCCAAAAAGACAATATACGGGCCGCAATGGCCCACTATACTAGACTTATAAGAAGGAACCCCCAACAAAATATAGGTCACATATTTATTACGGCCCCTGTGTTGAACACCGAAACCCCTCAACAGCACACCACTGGGCTCCGAACGAGGCCGGATGGCGAGGGGAGGCCCTCTGGGCGTGCTTTCGTCGTATCTGCGCAGGGGGAGATCTTCAAGGCTGCAAAGAGGGGTCCTTTAGGGGGGTCCTTATAACAGGGATCCTACTATTTATTTAGGGTTCTCAATTAGGGTCCCCTATTTTTCTAGGATGCCCAGTAACCTAGGAATAAAAAGGGCTCCCTTTTTGGTATTGGGTAACTTTATAAGGAACTTAGGACTACAAAAAGCGAATAAGGGTACCACTGGGCACCCTAGTTCAAGAGTTTAGGGTTGGGGTTTAGAAATCCTTAAGGGTATTACACAACATTAGGGTCCTTGAGGGGTTCTTTCAGGGTGTGTAGGGTTGCGCTTTTGGTGCTCAGGGGTTTTTATAGTTCTGCATAAAATTTCTATAGAGGAGTTTACGAACACAGCATCTAATGGCGTCCATACTTTTCCGTTCGTTTTCTACACGTTTCCATTCATTCCATATTTGCCACTTTTGCTTAAAAGAGTTTTCTTACCTGCGTTCATACCCAATCTTCTTGTCCTGGCTGGCAACTGATTCTGAATTTTTAAAAAATAATGCCTATTGTGTTCATGCTACTTCTGCCTATTCCTGCAACCCCTTGTTAAACAGACTATCTTATGTTTAAGTTTGTTATAGTGGGTCTGGGTTGTGGCAAGCGCTCGACGTATAACACCATGAACAAAAAGAGAGACACAGTGTGAGCAAAGGCTCATGAACAGGCAAAACATGCTGAAGATTCGAACACAGGGCCCCGCTCTAAACATCCATAAACGCTCCACCGCAGATGCAGGGCGCTTGGCAGCAGTGTATCTGCTTCAAAAACTGAGAGAGGATAACGACGTCAGCACAATGCCTAAACCGCTGTTGGCACAGGCGGCATACGCTTTAGGGTTTGTAGGGTTTAGGGTGATTCAACCTACAAGTAGCAAGCCTTCAGACTACGAACCAGAAGCCCTCCACTGCACCCAACCCCTACCCACCAACCGAATTAATTAATAGTTACCGCAAGCCCCCCCCCCCCCCCCCCACCCACCTACCGATTCCCACACGAGTTTCCGTCCACTGCTACACCCAAAGAACTGGCTCATGTGTCCCAATTCGACACTGTCCGGAGCCCTGATGCCCGGTATGATGACGCTTGCCAACAGAAATGGCCACAACAACCACAACAGCAACAGCAACAACAACAACAACAAAAACAAAAATAGCCAGTACAATACCCTGAGACCCTGAACCCTAAACCCAAGACCTTACTACCCTAAAACCTTTATCCTAAACCCGATTACCCTCAACCCTATGGTGAGAGCTTGGGAAAGTAAGGGCGCCTTTATATGGCTCCTAATAGTAGGCACTCTATGGCCAGCACCCTAAGTTGATGTACCTGAACCCCTCATCACAAGCAGCCCTGGCAACCCTGAGAAACCCGTCGTACAGTTCTTAATGGAACCTTTCGAAGTCACATAAGCTGTGAAGGCTATCATGGTTCGTCTTGCTACTATGTCATAGCAGCATGCTGTCATATTAGCTATGATCGTTGCTGCTATATTCAATGTGATCAGCAGCGTGCTGTACGACTTTTAGCATGCCTACAAGTGTACCACAATCTCATCATCCACAGTCTGTTTCTCACGGTCGTCATCATCGTTGTGCTATATTTTGATCCCGACCTCCAGTGGCTCGCATAGACCATACCGCGATCAGAAAGGAGAGCTGCTGCTTGCCGAAGCATTCGCACAGGCTCCTGCAGGATTCGAGCGTCGGGCCTAGGAGGCCTAAGGGTGGTCTTTCCTTTAGGAACTGTTGTGAAGACTTAAGGTTTAGGAGGCTTCAGTACGGTCTTGGAGTCGTATAGGATGTTATGAGGGTTTAGGGGTCGGTTTTCTTTACCATGTTCTTATGAAGCTTTCTTCCGAGGCCGAGGTCTCGATCCGATGTAGTATAGAACCCAAACACCCAGTTGCCCAAGAAAGCTGATTCCCCATCCTCGCAGTGGAGGATATTCATGAGCAGTACCGCATCTGCTGAACCATCTTCCAAACCATAGCCATCGGCGACGACATCACGGACCTGGCTCCAAGTCTCAATCCCCGGGTGGACCTATGGTAGGCTGTCATAGAAGGCTGTGAAGCTAGGAGATAAAAGAGCTATCGCAAAAATACGCTAGGCACCCTGCTCGAGTCGACGCCCGAGGAAGACTTTTTGCCAAAATGAACGTCGTGGTGAACACCAGTGCAGCCGAAACAAGCGCTGCAAGGGACAGTCGGCAAAACGTCTGATTTATTTCCAATTCTGAGCTGTCCAGATTTTCCGGGGAGCTGATTGTCGAGCGGAAAGTCAATCAATTCGACAGCCTACACCAAAGCTTTGAATGAACCAGCTTCAAGCCCCCGCATCGTGAAATGAATCATGTTTTCGTCGAGAAACATTCCTGCTCTTGTATATCTATTGGCTGGCCTTAGACCCTTGCTTTTCCCATTCATCCCAACACTCACCAAGGATCTTTATGGATCTCGAAACAATCATTTTGCAATGTGGATCATGCCCTGATAGCTACCTGTTGTCCTTTTGTCAAAACCCGGCCGCGTTCCGTTCGTTCGTATTCCGTTCTGCCCCTGTCGGTTCTGAGAAGGAGAAAAGACCGAAATGGGGTGGGAAGCCACACCGATTTATACGCGACCATTGGTCTTCTCGACTTTTTGAAGGTAAGCTGTTACAAACCATTGGTTGGGCCTGAAGACACGTTGGGAAGTTATCTCCGGCGAGCTTAGGTTGGGCAGAGGCCACCACGATTTGTCCCGGTTTCCACAAACCATTATTTGGGCGGGTCTCCCAAGAAACACTTTCTAGCTGATGAGTTCTTGTCGTACGAGTCGTCGCAAGCACCTCCCCTTGGGCCGACACTCGTTACCCGAAAACTATAGCTCCATGATATATGCGGTAGACGGAATAAAAATTTCAAAGGTTTTCTGCAACAAACTGAAGCATGCACCCCTCTAGCTCAGTAGCAGGTTCCATACCCACGAACCGTGCGAGCTATGCTTTATAGTCTGTAGGTCACAGGTTCCCCCATTGGTTGCTTCAACCTTATCAGCTGCTGAGGTGAGTCGGGATTCCGACATTGAGTTTGGGAAAAGCCTCAAGCAAAGACCCTGCTGTAAATGTGATAGGATGAATCACAAGGCCTGGAAGACCTTCCGACATGGTGTTCTCGAGTCCTAGAAACAATGTCGCGGCCTGTGCTCCGCCTCGTGTTGGAGGTCCCTTCCATTTGGTCCCTTCATATCACGGGCACCGATCCTCTCAAAAGGTTTATGCTGTGCCCTGAAGCCTGCATCCTTCATCCGAACATATAACGCCGGAGGATGAACACATATGAACACCGAGCACCTGGACATCCACGTTCGAAAGTCCTGCGCCACGCAGGCCTTAGGTCGTCTCACCGGCGGAATAGTTTTGGGTATGGCAATGTTCTAAGATTTCATTCAAATGATTTGTTGCGGTGTCCCAAGTCCTACTATATCCCATGATGACAGTGTTGCGGCTCAAATACGAAGCCGACACTTGCTGCATTACGTAAGTCTGCAACTAAACATACTAAACCCCATGCGCCTGCAATCCTGTGCGCGACAAATCACATGTCGAGATACGCATGTTGATTTGCAAAGCTGCTGACTGGGAACGAGGTCAGGGGCGCGGTTTGTATTAGACAGGTTCGTATGGGCTTGTGATTTGTAAACAAAGCTGTTGGCTAAGCTCCAAATTTTGTGAGCAACAAGCTCAAGTCCATCTGAGCCTGAGATTCCAGGCGCGAAACCTTGCGAGCGACAAGCCCTGGATTAAGCCGCCTCCAGCTGACACATGTGTAATAACAGTCCTTGAATATGGGGCATTTCGATGCGGGACAAATGCCGAAAGCGCTTGTCCTACAAGTTTCCGCCGGCCGGAAATCCGAACTGCACTTGGTTTTGACAATTCGCCGATCTTAGTTCATCAAACAGACAGCACGGCGACCATAACAAACAGACACAATGGGGACTGCCTGCAAATGGTTTTTAGGTCTGCCTGCCGTTCGCCTGCGACCGTCCTTATCTATGTGCTATTGTGAATTCCAACTTTGCTTTTCGCTCTCAAAAGCGACGAACGGCCCAAAACAATCCCACACCGAATGACAGGGGTCGGGGTCAAGTAGGGCTTCGGGATGTTTCAACTTTGCACGTCTCTCTGTCAAGTCGCATGCACGGCCAAAGCTAAGGAAACATCCAATTGAAAGGAACGGAGAGGACTGAAACGGTACAAACACCACAACAGTAGTAAAATACCGAAATTGGCACAAGGATAAATGTAGTCTTCGTAGAAGTACTAGTACTACTAGTACAGGTACTAGTACTAATACTAGTACTAGTACTAGTGCTAGTAGTGTTACTACTACTATTACTACTACTACTACTGCTACTACTACTACTACTACTACTACTAAAACTAATACTACTAAAACTACTACTACTACTACTACTCCTACTACTACTACTACTGCTACTAATACTACTACTACTACTACTGCTACTACTGCTACTACTACTTCTTCTACTACTACTACTGCTACTGCTACTAGCAGTCGGAGCAGTGGTAGCTGTAGTAGCAGCAACACGAAATCGGCCAACAGTAACAGCCAGCATCAGCAATACTAGCACAAATAGCAATTGGAATGATTATGGTGATAGTGACTTCGATACGGAGAGATAGTACATGTAAAATGACAGACAATAACTTGTACGTACTTGTAATCGGGTATTAAGCAGAAAAGGTAGTCATAATCATAAGGCCAAAGACAATATTGGCAGTAGTAGGATTTCGGAATATAAGTAAGTGCTAAAGATCTAACGACGCCGTTAGTAGCTAGCGGCTATGAGTTAGTAGTTCGTAGATAGTCGCTGGTATTTTATTTACAGGCATTGTGCAAGGCGTAAGTCGCCCGGCGTGGTTCCCAAATCGACGACAGGAAGCCGTCATTCATTCTTGCTTATACCCAGATTTATTAGTAACCATTCAACGATGAGTCGCTGGTAATTAGAAACTGGCAATCAGTTCATAGCAGCTGATGCACATGACTGATACTTACTTCGTAGTTGTGAAGCAATATACGAAACAACAAGCAATATAGTAATAAGCTACTATATGTTACTTTAGTCATGCAGTAGCGTATGGTAATATGTTGAGGTGGTAATTTAGTACTGGGGTAATCTGGTGATACTGTAACATGGCATAAGACGCAAGCAATACGGGGACCTAGTAGTATATTGCAATAAAAACCATACATAGCTACAATAATGTAATATATGGCCGTGTAGTGGTGTACAGTGACGTCATATCGTGGAATGGCCACCAAAAACTACGGCTGTCTAGTAGCATCCCAATAGTAAACAAACCACTATTACGACGACGACTACTACTACTACTCCTGCTGCTGCTCCTACTACTACTGCTATTACTACTACTACTACTACTACTACTACTACTACTACTACTATTACTACTACTACTACTACTACTACTACTACTACTACTACTATTGCTACTACTACTATTACTATTACTACTACTACTACCACCACCACCACCACCACCACTACTACTACTACTACTACTACTCTTACTACTACTACTACTACTACTACTGCTACTACTACTACTACCACTACTACTACTACTACTACTACTACTACTACTACTACTACTACTAACTACTACTACCACTACTACTACTACTGCTACTACTACTACTGCTACTACTACTACTACTACTACTACAGCACCTCATACTTCCCACTACTGCTCACTACTACTTACTACTACTTACTACTACTTACTTCTACTTACTACTACTTACTATTACTTACTGATACTTACCACTACTTACTACTACTTATGCTACTTATGCTACTTACTGCTACTTACTACTACTTACTACTACTTACTACTACTTACTACTACTCACTACTACTTCCTACTACTTACTACTACCCCTACTACTATTACCACTACTACTGCTACCACTACTACTACTACTACTACTACTACCACCACTATGGCTGCTGCTACTACTACTACTACTGCTACTACTTCGGCTACTGCTACTGCTACTGCCACTGCTACTGCTACTACTACTACTCCTGCTACTACTGCTACTACTGCTACTACTCCTTCTACTGCTACTACTACTGCTACTGCTACTGCTGCTGCTGCTACTGCTACTGCTACTGCTACTGCTACTACTACTACTACTACTACTACTACTACTACTACTACTACTACTACTACTAACGATACTGCCGCCACTACTACGCCGACCACTACTGTACTCCAACTGCAATTACTACCTACTACCACTGCTAGTGTTGCGAATGCTACCACTCCTGCTGCTAATGCTGAATTCTGTGAGAGTTTGTTGGGTTCACTAGCGGAGATCCGATTGTTTCGTTTACTGAAGAGGAAGCTCAACCTTTTCCGGCAATCTTGCCGAATTGCCAAATTGATTCGTGTCTTACATAGCATCGTAAGGGTCCTGAGCGCAACTGATGCTCTGTATCGATGCAGAGGACGCATGCGATCGTTTGCATAATTGCAACGTCGTGTTTTGCCTGGCAACCATGCTCGGATTGAAACCTTTTTCGATGCTCGATATCTGGGAATGTTTTTGCCCGGCAGTGCAATCTATTCGGGAAACGCAACAACCCGAAATTCACAAGCCGGCAACTTGCAGAAGCCAACCTACATAGACAAAATCCGAATGCTGTCCCGGTTCAAAACATCCTCCTTTCTGAATCTGCAGGTCCTCAAGTGCTGAAGTTCAGTCATGTAGGAACCTGATTAAGAAACCCTGGGCGTATAACCCCCCAAATGGTAGGATTCATATAAGGAACCCAAATAAAGGCCCAAGGTTTAATACTCGGGTTCCTACATTACAGCCTGCCAAAAAGCCCCTTTCACGAGTCTCAAAAACCCAGAGACAGCTCCCAACAAGCTTCCGCACCCCTTCATCAAAACCCCAACCAAACAAAAATCAAAGAAACGACCAACTGAGAGTTTAGGGTTTAGTTTTCTTTTTTTGAGGGCCTTTTCTGTCGCTCGAGCTCCAAAGCCCCGGTTTAGGCCGAAGAATCCCAAATCAAAGCCACAAACCTTGCGTCGAGAGGCGTTTCTCTGTCTGTACAACCATCCGGGGCTCGATGTCGAAAGTTCGTACGGATTGACAGCGTTTGGCCACCTCCATGAAACCACATGAGTCTGCACTAGGTCAAGGGTTTAGGGTTCAGGGGTTTAGGGGTTAGAGTTTAGCATTGGGGGTTTGGGGTTTAGGGTACCAGGTACAGGGTAGTAGGGCTTAGGGGACTTGGTTTAGTTTTCAAGCTTTTGGACTCACTTAAGGTTTCTACACGGCCTCTGAAAAGCCGGAGCCTCCATAAGGGCTCTAACAAAGGGCAAAGATGGACAGCTTGTGCTCCGAAAAAACCCTATGATGGAAGCCCTGAACTCTGTATAAACCTTAAAGGCCCTGACTGCTTTAAATCCTCAACGCTACACCATGAATCCGTGTAAACTCTCAACCCGTCACCCTAAATCCTCAACCTAACTATGCCCACCGTTGCTACGTCCTCAAACCCAATTTGAAACAGGCTGCCGGCAAGGTGATGGTGCCGTAGCCGCAGCCGAGCTCCACTACCTCACGCGCTTGCCACAGCGGCGTTGATATTTCCAATCGGGTTTGTAAGCGTAGTGTGATACTAAAGGGAACTCCAGAAAGTTGGAATATGGATTAATGGTAGGATCCCCTGTAATTTACCTTAAAGGGGTTACGATAATGATATTCCAACTTTCTGGCTTCTACTGTACATAGGGAACCCCAAGTTATCCGGACACCTCTAGAGCTACCAGCTTCAGTATCTTAGAGTACGACACCAGAAAGCTTCGGGATTCGGGGCTTGGGAGCCTGCACAATGTCTAGCAACTCAGGTAAGCAATAGCCGTGGCAGAAACAACAATGGCACCTCTCAGTTTATGAATAGTAGTCAGCTAGTCACAGTCCCATAGTAACAATACTGATTCGTCAACTGTTGTAGGCTGACCCACAAACGCCGTTTTTATGTTTTGTACTGGGCCTCAGCAACTCGAGTAGGGTTTGGTGTGTCAGATTTGGCTGGCTGTGTTATTCACAAGTACCTAAAGGATCATGGGACTTAGTAACTAGGCTTATAATTAGGGTAACTATACTTCTAACCCCAATTAAGGTACTTATAACCTTACTAAGTCCCATGATCCTCCAAGTATCTTCTACTCCTTTTGATGCGACCTTTTTCACCACTCGTCCAACTTGAACCTGAACAGAACGCACACCATACAGCCAAACCTTGAACGGTTTTATTGTTTGGTTAGTGTCCCTGGTTCGAGATCCGGAACTTCATGGTTTTTGTTGGGCGGGGGTGTATGGTTGAGGTTCGGATTTCTTATTTCGAGGGAGGCGCTGAATGCTACAACCAAACTATACCGAAGTTGCACAGCAGCCAATGCCTGAAAGCGGCTTGAAGCCAATGCCTACTAGCCTGGAAGACAATTGCACATTGACTGAACGAATACACAAGCGCAGACCAAGAAAGCTGCGCAACCTTGCAGACCGAATACACCTCCTGCACCTCCTCACACAATACGGCTCGATCGGGTTAAACGGTCAAACGTCATGAAGGTTGCAAAATGCTCGGTAATTAACACCGATAACGTAAACAATGAACCCCTAAAACCATTGGAGACCCCTAAATCCCTGAACCCCCGCATCCCATGAACCCCCTGAAATCTCTAAACCCCTGAACCCCCTAAGTCCCCAAAACCCTGAAACCCACCGAAATCAACCCCCCTTAAACCCCTTAAACCCCTTAAACCCCCAAACCAGGGATATTAGACCCCCCTAACCCTAAACTTTCTAATTGGATCCCTTTCAGGAGCTCTTTAAGGGGCCCTTTAGGTATATTCCGTAGTTAAAACCTCTGAGTCCTGAACACCCCAATCTGCCGACCTTGTCGTGACTGCCAGGCGTGAAGCCCAGGGAGTCGAGCCTCCAAGGCATCCAGGGTTGCCGATTTACTACCTAGGATACCCAGTAACCTAAGATAAAAAAGGCCCCTCTTTTTGGTATTGGGTAACTTTATAAGGAATCTAGGACTACAAAAAGGGAATAAGGGTACTACTGGGCATCCTAGCTACTATAGGGGCCTCAATAATTAGAATAGGGTTTTGTAAAGGGCTACTATTTCGGGGGTACAATGGGAGGTGTGTAGTATAGGGGCCTCAATAACTAGAATAGTGCTTTTGGTGTTCCCTTGAAGGGATTTTTTAAAAAGCTACTGTAAAAGGTACTCTGGGAGTGTAGTATAGGGGCCTTAATAGAGTCTCTTCTGCCAAAATAAGGGCTACTATAAGGGGTACTATGGGGGTTTAGTATAGGGCCCTTAATATGTGGGGGAATGAAGTATAGGGGACCATTATTGGGGATTATATATAATTCCCCCATTCCTTACTAAGCACCAGGGAGTTTAGTAAAAACGGTGAATAGGGGCTTGGAGGTTTCGTGATGTGTAGGGGTTTAGAGTTCAGAGGTTGAGGGTTTTACGGTCTAAGGTGTAGTTCCTTTAAAGGGGCCCTTTTGGCAACCCTTGCAGTTTCCCTTAAGGGTTCGTCACAGGGTCTAAGCCGGCTCCTTCAAGGATTTAGTTAGGGGAGTTTCCGAAAATTAGGGGTACCTTATTTCAGGGGTCCTTAGAATAAGGATCCTACTATTTCGGGCACTCTATTACGGTTCCCCATTCTCGGAAACTCCCATTGGGGCCATAATAGACTCGGTAACTCGACATCTCACATCCTCAGGGTGTTCCTGACAGGACGCGCGGCCAGAGACCTTCAAGCACGATGGTTATTCCGAAAGGTTCGGGGTGCAGGTCCTAAATAAGTACGTTAGAATCTTTGTGTGTGTGTGTGTGTGTGTCTGTGTGTGTGTGTGCGTGTGTTGGGGGGGGGGGTATGTTGATAACACCATCTGAGTATCGCAGGTCGACAGCACACGAAAATGCGCACAACTCCATCATGGTAAGAAAGGGTCTGGGGCTTTGGGGAGCATCACCGAGTACCAGTAGCTCTCCAAGAAGTGATCTGGCTTTCTTAGAGGCTCAAGGCTTAGGGCGTGGGGGCTCGATTTTTCGGGGGTTAGGACTGCTAGATCACAGGTTCAGAGTTCCGGGCTTCAAGAACTGCAACCCCGAGGTCTAAAGCCTTGCAAGCCCTCTAACCTAAACCCTACCTGGACCCCAAAAGTATGTAGAATGATAGCCTTTTATGGGTTTTGGACCATTATTTTACCTGCTCTTGGGGTTTTATTTAGGTAGTCCTAAAGCCCGACATATAATTACACTTCAAGCCTTCCCCCGCATAGTAAATATATCTACAACCCGAGAGTACTCTTATAGAAACCATGCAATGCAAGGAACTATAGCATACTTATAGGAAGCATTGAGCCCTAAGCATCTCAAACCCTGTTGTACCCATATCGTACCGTTGCGGGAACCTGTAGCGGAACCTGTGTATGGCAAACCCGAAAGTCCTAAACATCTAAAACCTGTCGAGGGTGCAGGCCGAGGAACATCGTCTCTGCATCGACAAGGGTCTCCCAGTACTCCACCTCAGTACTTCAAAAACCATGCTATCATGGATTTGTTCTGTGTAGATATATTCACGTACATGCATATGTACATATGTATGTCTCTGACATATGCATAAGCTGCAAATCTATACATGTGCATACATATATATATACATATATATACATATGTGTATGTATATACGTACACACACCTAATACTTGTCCTGCCAGTTCTGGTGTGCGACACATGTTAGTCTGTTAGTATACATAGAACTATGATACTCTGCATTTAACTTTGGAGCGTAAGGGTATTCCTGATGCTCACATCCTTCTGCTTGGGTGCTGTTTGGAGGTGGAGGATGCTACTCTCCCCTCCGCTTTGCTGCTTTGAGGTATACGGGAGTTTCCAAAAATAGAGGACCCTAATACAGCACCCCAAATAATAGGATCCGTATTATAAGGACCCCCAAAATTAGGTATCAGGTATCCCTATTCTCGGAAACTCCAAACCCTAAACCCTAAACAGAACTCTTATAGACTATTTATAGCTACCCATTAAGGAACCCTTTTCGTTCCCTTTAAGAGTACTCCCAATTTCGAAAACTCCCATATTCCTTGTCTAAGGAATTTTCGGAATTATCTGGGATCTTCGGTCCTGTGAATTTCTACTGTAGGGGCCTTAACAATTAGAATAGGGTTCCTTTAAAGGGGGTCCTTAAAGATATACAATAAGGGATCTATAAGGGTACAAAAAAATAGGGGCCAGAAAATTTAAAATAGGGTGCTAGAAGTATAATTAATATGGAACCCAAGCCACTATATTAGGTTTACCGGGTTCTCGTCGACGAACTTGCAAACGTCCGCTACCAGCGAGTTAGTCGCAACGTCCTTTTTTGAGGCGAGGGGAAGTTAGTGTAAGGTTTGGGGAACAAGTGCGGCTTAGAGGTTCGAATATTTCGAAGAACCTGAAGCCTTGAACCCTCGCCACGCCGTAACCCGATCAAGGTGCGCCTGCTCCCACATGGACTCCTACGTCTCACTTTCGAGCGATAGAGGCCCTGTTTGGATGCTCAAGGTACGTATTGCTCGGTATTCAGGCTTGCATATTACCAAAGATAGGATCTCTTTGCCTACCCTTGGGCTCCATTGTAGTTCCTTGATTATAGGATCCTAAGTATAAACCACAAAAAGGAACTGCTATATGGAGCAAAACCTTAGGTGCCTTAAGGGTCTTTATAGATCGCAGATCGAGTCGAGGGGCCGGTGGCATGCCACTCTCGCGCACACGCGTGGGAGAGTCGGCCGTGGAGTCAGACATGCTTCCAGCCTGCCCAAGCTCTGTTCTCAGGTTTAAGGCTTTAGGGCTGCAGGGTTGGCGAATTTAGAGCTTGGATTTTAGGGTCGAGGCTTTTATAAGTGTTTAGAGAGAGCTTCGTTCCCCGGCGACCCCTTCAAAGCAAGAACATTTTGCGACGATTCAGTCTTCTTCAGAACATGCAAAGACGCCAATATTTCTGGAAGGACCCAGCGGAGCCTTTTACAAGTTCTACAGGGTGGCATGGGGCTTCAGGAGTGAAGAGCTTGCTGGGTCCATCATGATATCTTCTTCGTCTGTGCCCTGTGCTCCCTCAATTAGACAGGAATATTGCCGAAACAAAAGGGATTTGGAAGGGCGATTCAAATCTGTGTATGTGTGCATGAATATGCTATACACGAACGACATAGTCACAATAGCAGGATAGTATTCCTAATTCTCCAGAACCCCGGCATTTCACCAGCACCCCAGCACCTGCGTCGGCGAGTCGGGAGAGGAGTCGGACATGATGGCAGCCTCTCTGGGTCTGTAAGGGCTCCTTTACGGGGTCTACAACGGTTTGAGGCTTTCTGGTGGGTCTTATAAAGTAGGGTGTCCGGCGTCAGGTTTTTGGGTTCGAGAAGGGTTTATCAGAGGTTTCAAGGGTTGAGTGGTTCATCAGCCACGTCTCAGTGTTCAACGCTTGAAGCGAGTCTACTGGACATGGCGGTATAGTCCGGCACCTCTGGGGGAGCCTCACAAGTTTAGGATCCAGAGTTTAAAGCTTAAGGTATCTTGTCGAGATCGTAATAATGGAACAGGGTTTTGGGGCGCGTCTCCGAAATCTCATGAGTCTGCGTTGTAAAGACTGCAACCACTATGGCATTCCTGACCCTTGCGAGAGTAGGACCACTGCACACTGTTTGAAGCGCAGGGGTAGGGCTTACTTGAAGGATCATGGGACTTAGTAAGTAAGGTTATAAGTACCTTAATTGGGGTTATAAGTATAGTTACCCTAATTATAACCCTATAGTTACTAAGTCCCATGATCCTTTAGGTAGGTGGCCTGCCTGTGTGATTGAGCTCAGCGTGGCAGCAACGGCGAGCAGAGGGAGAGATGCTACCATGCAGTGACTGTCTCTGCTCGCTTTTATCTATGGACCGTAATTATGGGGGGGCTGCTGTTAAGATCATTTTGGGTTTTCGCCTACTTCCATCACAACTTCAAGCGTAATAGGACCTAGAATGAGCTCTCGAAGGAATTTGTCAGAGACTCTGTCAGCAGTGGCTTGCATTGCTTGCATGAACAATTTCTCCGCCTACTGGCAATATCACAGACTGTGGGTTTTCTCCCAACTAAGCTTTCTTCTCATGTGGTGCTGTCGTCAATCTGGTAGCCGTCAGGGTAGGGAATGGAACAGATGTGACAACGCCACCTCAAGCCCTTCACTGTGGGCACTAATGATAAGAAAAGGGTTTTTGGGGGTGTGCAGTACTCGGTGACGATTCTTAAACATGCGGGTTTTAGAAACCTAAGCAAACATCTTATACTGCCTCCGCGGCCGGCAGGCCCGGGCCGGCAAGTCTATTTACAAGGGTGAACCTGGGGCTTTCAATCTTGCAGGAAACGTTTAACTGAACTTTTGCACTACCTCCGTGGCGTAGGCGGTCCGGCCGCCTTCACCGGTATCTAACTACGTCTCAATCATTCGAGCAGGTTCTGAGGATTTTATACTATTTTATACTACATGGATCCAGTAAGACTGCAAAGACTAGTTTTGGTAATAATCACTCAGGCTTCTGCATGGCGGTTTCCCCCGGAGCGAGCAGGCTTTTGTCCCCAAAAAACCAAACCCTTAACTAACCCAACACTTCGCCTGGAAACCCAAAAACCACCTGAACAGGAGACGAATGGAACATCTCTGTGGATATGTTTGAGTACGGTGCAGGGCATCTTGGTACGACGGAAAGCCTAAACCCTAAACCCCACAGCCCTAAACCCTGAAACCTGTAACTTTAGATCACCGAGGCCCTGAACCCCAGATTCGAGAGCAATGTCAAACAAACCGAGACTCCTGAACAAGGAAGGCCCCCGTATCCCCCCTGAACCCCACTAAACTTCACCTTAACCGCAAAACCTCTGAAGACCAACCCATAAGCCTGAACCCTGAAACCTTTCAACGTCCAAACTTCCCTGCAGGAGCTCGACGAGTACGTGCTCATGTGCGAGCTGAAGGAGTGGTTGAGGTGATTACTCGGACTTCCTTACTTTTTACACCATTCTGCGGCCCTGGATGCAATTTTTTTATTTGATTTGAACCACCGACTTTTTCAGGAACTCGGTGCTCTCAAGCCTTGAAGCACCAAACCCTCGCACCCATCATCACATGCTTTGGGGTGCCCGTGCCGGACCCCGGAAGGACAACAATGCACAAACAAGTGCTTTAGGTTTTAAAGATTTACATAGGGGTTTCGGGATTTAGGGGCTGAATGCTTGGTGATGTAAGCTTGAGGGTACAAGCACGTGCATCCGCTTGATTATGTTTAGTAATGCATGCATACGTAATCTGTATAGCTCTATAGCTACTCATATTATGTGTACGTATATATGTAGAGAGAAAGAGAGAAAGAGAGAGAGAGAGAGAGAGAGAGAGAAAGAGAGAAAGAGAGAGAGAAAGAGAAAGCCAGAAGGAGATGTATACATGTGTGTGTATATATATATATATACACAGTATGTACTACCTTTATGTTCTGTTCCCAAACAGCAATCGCAACGTTCACGATGCTCTGCAGCTCTTTCTTTTGGGTCTTCCCCTCTCTGCGGTTCTCCTGGCAAAGGCCACAGCCTTGGACGCGAATGGCTGGGAGGGCTTCCCGGGCTCGGCACCGGCGACTACTATAGGGGCCTTAATAATTTGAATAGGGCTTTGGGGCCCACTGTACTACAAGTATAATAAGCAACCCCCCACAATAGTATTGGTAAGTATTTAGGCCCCTTCATTCCAATAGTTTGAGGCCCAGGCTCAAGCGCTAAACTCAAGGACCAAAGACCTTAACACCCTCGACACTAAACCCTCACACCCGGAGGCCTCAATACAGTGATTGAAGTTGAGTAACCATATGGAGCACTTAAAGATACTTAAAGGAGCCGTTGCAGGAAGACTTTAAACAAAACGGAAACACTTGTCACCTTCATGGGCGGTCGGACAGTAAGGCTCTGGGGCTGGGTGGAGGATGAAAGATCTGGAATCTCGGCCTCCTGATTTGGTATCGGGGTTTAGGCATGTAGGTTGAAGGTCCGAGAACTAAGCCCTAATGGGTCTGAACTCAAGGGGTTTAGGATCTATAACCGGGGGGGCACTAAGGACTGGGATATCGAACTTTGAGGGGTTAGGCTTGGGTTTTGGGAGGTCGGGGGGGATGGGGGGGGTCATATAATTTGGGGTCTTAGCAAGTAGAGTGGGTTTTCGGATTTGAGTCGATACAATGGCAGCTACCGCAGCGAGTCGTCAAATCCCGATTTCGTGCGTCGCCTTTTTCGGGGACTCTGACTATTCTTGCCCTGAAAGAGACCAGAAACTCCAGCTGGCGAGCCCCTACCACAATTTGCGGAACCTTCCTGGAGTCTTTTGGAAACTTTTTTTAATTTAGAAACCAAAGCCCGAAGGTTTTCTAAGACACCAAGTTTTGCCGCGCCGCTCACTGAGAGAGGATCTGATGCCATCTTGATTCGGCCTGCTGGATGTACTCCAAGCAAAGGGCCACCTGCACAGCTTCTGGAGGGGGTTCTTGCATGACTGTGGAAGGCGAACGGTCGTATACGGATTTCGAAGGATAATGCAAGGTATTGACAGTTTTGTGAAAGAGTCCTATGGTCTGAAAGCCTTTCAGCCACGTGAGCACCGGTATCACTTTGTGGGATCCTGCGTGGCATGTACCAGGTGCTATGGTTGTGCCATCTGCCCGACAGAGCATCCGGAAGAAACTACTTTCCGACCTGTCCGACGGCCCACAACCCTTTTGTAAACCCCTAAAGTTGGAAACGGAATTAAGGACAATTAGTGCTGGGATTCCCTATGCTTATAAACCCTGAACACTAAGCCTCCGGAGGCTGGCTCGTGCCCATCGACGCACAGTGCCGGCCCCTCTTGCTTGCTTACATATCTTGTCTGACATTTGACATTTCTGAACTGAACCGGAAGCAGGGTCCAGATGTTCCACGAGATACTTCCAAAATGCCGAAACTCAGACTGGAGTTGCTTACAAGATGATGCTAATTGGGGGTCTTGGCAAGGCTACTTTAGCACGGTCTCAGACGTCTAAGATACCCGATACCCAGAAATCTAACCTGGTTACTTTTCAGCGACCTGGAGAACCCACTGCAACACGCTGCCACACTCTACCAGGCCTGTAAACACGCCGCCGAGCTGCTGGAAGCCCTACAGTCTAAAGAAGCCTCTATGCCGCGAACAAATAAAGCACACCGCAGGAAGTGCAGACTCCTCCGGGGACAAAACCACGTTGAAACCACGACAAAAACGCCGGCCAACCTCTCGGCAAGCCCAAGTCTTACCTAGACCACACAAAATAGGTAAAATAATGTCGTTTACCGATTAAGATACCCCCCCAGATTAGACGGGGCGGTCCCGGGCATTTCATGGGCTTAATGAAGAGGTCCATTAGACCCCACCCCTATAGTACCGGAGCTCATTTAAACCCCCCCCGATTAGACGGGGCCATCCCCGAAAATCCCCGAAATAAGGATTTAGGGGATTTAGAGGCTTATGACTTAACCCTAAACCCCAAACCCTGAAGCCTAAACCGTAAAGAACTCATGATGGCAGACTTTTCCTCATTGGACCAGCTCATGTCCAGCAGAGCTAAGCTTGTACTTAGGGGCAATGTTCCTGCCCAATCTGCGGGCTTCCCTCCTCATCCAGTATGCGAGGAGCTTACCCTCATCGCAGCTCAGGCAGCCTGAGGCATGCCGGCAGCGGCTGCAGACTCCAATCTCATGGAGTTCGATTCGATTTCTCTCATCCCAGTATGCCTGGGGCATGTCCTCGATCTCAAGGACTTTGCCTTGGCTAATGACCTCATGGGCCATCTTCTGAAGCGCAGTCAGCTCAAGGCCTTTGCTCATGCGTTTCTCAGCCATGGCCGCCATGTGCTCTCGCTCTTTTCTCATCCTGGGAAGCCCAGGAAGAAAAGGGTCCCTGTATGTCTAAGACTAATTACAAAAGGGAAAATGGGCCTAAATACTAAAGGTCCGAGTATCTTGATTCCCAAGGCCTCCTCCTTCTTCTTATGCTGTTTCAGCTCATCCAGTCGCTTGGTCTGCTCAGTGCGGAGAGCATTTGTGACCTTATGCAGCCGCTCATGCCACTTCTTCGCCGAATGCGAAGGCCACCCAGTGCTGGCCTTTCCAAACCCCATGGCCTTTGCGGCCTCTTGCTCCATGGCAGCCAGAACATGGAATCCGCACTCATCGACTCCCTGGAAGACCTTGTTCCTGCGAGGAGGCAGCACCGCCTCATGCACCAGGCCCATGGAGAGCAGGGATGCCAAGATTTTCTCAGCGTAGTCCCTGCATCGCTGGGACTCATCCGGCAGGGAGTCATAGTACCTCAGGGCTGGCTCTGCGTGCGAATGCGAAATAAGGAGTCCCCATGCACAACTCTACCTTATAATAGGGAAAAGGAGGAAAAAGCATGGTGTGCCTCACTTTGGGAGTCTCAGACTCATGTGTCGCATCTATGACGAGCAAAACCCAGTGCCCAGCAGACCCCAGGGGGAGGAAGTTCAGTGTATGAGCACTCATCTGCTTTTTGATGCACTCAATGAATGCATCCACATCCACTTTGGCATTGTCATGATGCAGATATAGTGGCTGTGTCCATCCAGGACTAATGAAGCCCATGCTCTTGCAGGGCATTGAGCTCTGGAGCATGTGCCAAAGCAGGACTCGCCAGCCCAAATGCAGCTGTTGCAGCTCTATGCCGCCGGCCTCAATGGCTGGGTATGGGAGGATGTGAACCTGCTCAAGCCCATCCAGCTGATCCAGGTCCTGGCTCAAGAGCCCCATGTCAAGCAGCATTTCCTGCTTCCAGGCCCGGTAGAAGGACATCTGGGCCCACTTCCACACCTTATGCTCACCCTCTGGCAATCGCTCACAATGGCTCTTGCTGACCCATGCCTTCTGCTGCTTGGGGAAGAAATGGTCCTTCTCCAGCAGCATGTGGCAGTTCTGACGGCCGACACCCAGAATGGACCCATGCCGCCCATACAGCGAAATGCCAGCGTCCTGCGGCTAGGGAGAGCTTATGATGGGCTTTGCTCAACCAGCTAATTTTCTCTCGAACCCACAGGCCTCATTGACTATCCTCCATGTGCCCTTGGTCATGTCATGCTCACCAGTGTCAGCACTCATAGCTGGTGGGCCGGGTGGCGGAGGCAATGGCGGCTCAGGGAGCTCATCCACCGCTTTGCTCAATGCGTTTTTCTTGAGCTGCTTCTTATGCTGCTTTTTGGCCATCTTGCCCATCTTGGGCAAGCTCATGCCCTTGGCCTTGGCTTCGGCCTTGGCCTGGGCCTTCGCCTTGGCCTTCGCCTTGCCTTTCTTCGAGGCCGATGCTGGCAGATCCCTCATGGGTGGCATGACAGGAGGAGAGTCTCATGGGGGTTTAGGGCAAGTAGGAAGGGCGAGGAGCCTGGAGGTTTCCTGCATGCTTGCTCTCAGCTCCTCCCGGGCCTCATCCGTGAGCTGATGCTCCTGTTGCTTCTTCTGCCGCCTGGTCTTATTCTTCTCTCTTCTCCTCTCCCTCTTTGCCTTGGCTTGATCGCTCATGGTCGCCTCTCTTGCCAGCATGGCCCTTCTCAGGTCTAATGGCATCTGGAACTTGGCGCATGCCTGCCATTCAGGCTCGGAATGCTCATCAAATGGGATGTCCTCCCAGCTTGGGGCATCCTTGAACCCATCGTTGTAGTGCCAATGGGCCAGGTCACTCAACTCAGTGGCTCCCTCAATGCGAGCCCAATTGGGTTTCTCAATGTCTCCATTGTTCTCATGCTGATACCGATTGGCGACCCATGTCGGATGGATCCTCTTGCAGCCCAATGGCTTGTCCTTGGCCCATGCCTCGTGATCGCACTTCCTCATCTTGCCATGCTCATCAGGTCTCAGGGCCAAGAACCCATTGCGGCGGAGCCCAGCCAGGACCCATTCCGTCTTCTCATTCATCTGGATCATGTGCTCCATGGCAGCGTCGATGGCCAATGCCATCTCCTTGATGCCCATCTTCGGGAACTGCTGCTCATGGTGCCCATCCTCCTCATTCCGGCGAGCCGCCTGCCTCATGCTCTGCTCATCGATGGCTCTTCTCACTGATGCCTTAAAGGCATGTGAAAAATCTGTATCAGTGAGCTGTAATGCTGATGTCATCTTCGGCATGATGCTCGACTGAACCTGATGCCCCATGAAGAGGGTCTTGACCGTATCTGATGTGAATGCAGGCCCATACGCATCCCTCATCCACACACTCAATGGGAACTGCCTAGCCTGATCCTTTATGACCCATGGCAAGCAAATCCCATCGCTGTTGGATGCAGGCTGGCTCATGACGGAGAAATGCCGGAATGCTTGTGGCATCTCATCTCGCAGCTTTCGCCAGCTGATGAGAGCTCGGCCGCAGCTCTCACCTCTGATGTGGCGTCTCTCTTGACCCATGTAGAAGAATGTCTCATCCTCTTTCCATTTCCCATGCTCGTCAATGTTATCCAACCGTGCATGCTGGCCGGGAACTATCAGAATGCCTCTCATGCAGTGGCCTTCGGGGGTCTTCTCATGGTCGAAGAAGCCACTCACGAGCTGCATGGCCTCAAATGTGACCCTGTACCTATCGGCCTTCTCTTGCCGACGGGTGGTCAAATGGGCCATCTCATGCTTCTCATCTGGCATGGCGAGCTTCCACTCATCACCTGGTTCCTCCTGCTCATGTGGCTGCTTCTCATGATGCTCCTCAGCTTTCGACTCCTCATGAGGCTCCTCAGCTTTCGACTCCTCATGAGGCTCCTCAGCTGCCGGGTGTGTCTCATCTGCGGTCTGCTGCGGCTCATGCAGGTGCGGATGCTGCTTCTTCTTCTTGAGGCCTGCTACTTCCCATGAAGCCATGATTTCTTTCTTGGACCCAGACTTCAGCCAGAGTGGCACCTGATCGGAGAAGCCCAGAACACATGCCTTTCTAATGGCTGGGGTGATCTCATTGGGCCTGGCAAAGTACTGTCTCATGAAGTCCTCATCTGCTGATGCCACCTTGTGAATGCACCAGTCATGGTGTTGCCACGAGAGCTCAGCCCTCACCTGCTGCTCCACGGAACTGATCTGGGTCACGAGGTTTGGAACCCTCGTCTCAGCCCCAAGCCATGTGGCCAATGTCTTTGCCCTTTTGTTCATCAGCTTCTCGCTCCCATGCATGGCCTCCATCTGCTTCTCTGCAAGCTTTAGCTTCACCTCATGCTGCTGCCGCTCCTCTGTGCTCATGTCCTTACTCTTCTCAGACTCAAGCAGCTCCGTAAGCTCAACCATGTGTTCCTGAAGGAGCAGCTCATACTGCCATGCCAGGTGCCGCTGCAGCACCTGATGACCATGGGCTCGTTCTTTGTCAAGCCAATGGCCAAGTTTCTGGACGACCTCAGGGAATTGTCGCTTGGCACCAGCACCTTCTGCTCTCATCCTTGGCCTCTGCTTGGAATGCTCCCCACCGATCATGTTGCCATGGTCCTTCTTTTCGAGCTGAGCCCATGTGCTCCTGTTGGCCCAGATGTCCTGCAGCTTGTCCAACCTCATCTTGCTCTTCTTTGCAAAGGCCTTGAGCATGTCTTGCTCAGCGGGATGGTGCCCACGGGTCTCATAGATTTGCTGGCAGATGCGGTTCTTCATGGACACAGGCAACTCAAACTGCCGAGGTTTCTCATTGGCCTTTCTCCGGTTGGACTTCTGGCCACCCATGATCCCTCTCCTTTCGCTGACCGGCTTCATGGGCCGACCTCCGAACCTCCCAAACTTCTTGCCCACCTCCTGCTGCAGCTTTGGGATGACATCCTCATGGGCTGTCAGGGTCAGCTTCTTCCCATCAAGCGACAGCTGCCCACTCTTCAACATCTCACGAAGAGTGTCTTCCATGCGATGTCTTGGCCTCTTGGGCGGCGGACTGGGCGTCTCATGGATGCTGCTGTCGTCAGAGAAGGATGACGGAGACCGGAAGAACTTATGCAGCCTTGACTGCTTGGACTCGGCTGATGAAGCCGATCCAAAGCTCAGCTGTCGCTTGACACGGTCCGTGGGTGGGCTCATGCTCTCATCCGCTTCTTTCTTTGCCACAGGAGTCTGGGAGAGGGCTTTGTCCTCATCGTCCAGGACTATGGCTGTCTCCTCATTCTCTTGCTCCTGCTCATGCTGCGACTCATCACCGCCTCCCCTCATTCGCATCATGCTTCGCCAGTACTCCCTTTCTGCCTTCTCCTGCACAAGCAGAAGCAAGAGAATTTATTAATTATCTTTTTCTCTGCCCAGAATAGCAGGCAGGAAGCCCCCCCAGAATAGCAGGAAACCCCCCCCGATTAACAGGGTCCGGCCCGGGACCAGGGATTTGCAGGCCCTTGGCTTTGACCTAGAAAGCCCGAAGCTTTGAGATGGAAGGGTCAGAGATCCCTGGCCTTGGGATCCCTGGGATTTGGGTGATATCTTCTGCTGCCAGAAACAGGTGGTTCCCTAATTAAACCGTATATAAAAAGAATAGGTTTGTCAAGTTTTCCAAGGCTACCCCTTTGCAGGCCCCGCCCCCCCCAGAATAGCAGGAAACCCCCCCCGATTAACAGGGTCCGGCCCGGGACCAGGGATTTGCAGGCCCTTGGCTTTGTCCTAGAAAGCCCGAAGCTTTGAGATGGAAGGGTCAGAGATCCCTGGCCTTGGGATCCCTGGGATTTGGGTGATATCTTCTGCTGCCAGAAACAGGTGGTTCCCTAATTAAACCGTATATAAAAAGAGTAGGTTTGTCAAGTTTTCCAAGGCTACCCCTTTGCAGGCCCCGCCCCCCCCAGAATAGCAGGAAACCCCCCCCGATTAACAGGGTCCGGCCCGGGACCAGGGATTTGCAGGCCCTTGGCTTTGACCTAGAAAGCCCGAAGCTTTGAGATGGAAGGGTCAGAGATCCCTGGCCTTGGGATCCCTGGGATTTCGGTGATATCTTCTGCTGCCAGAAACAGGTGGTTCCCTAATTAAACCGTATATAAAAAGAGTAGGTTTGTCAAGTTTTCCAAGGCTACCCCTTTGCAGGCCCCGCCCCCCCCAGAATAGCAGGAAACCCCCCCCGATTAACAGGGTCCGGCCCGGGACCAGGGATTTGCAGGCCCTTGGCTTTGACCTAGAAAGCCCGAAGCTTTGAGATGGAAGGGTCAGAGATCCCTGGCCTTGGGATCCCTGGGATTTGGGTGATATCTTCTGCTGCCAGAAACAGGTGGTTCCCTAATTAAACCGTATATAAAAAGAATAGGTTTGTCAAGTTTTCCAAGGCTACCCCTTTGCAGGCCCCGCCCCCCCCAGAATAGCAGGAAACCCCCCCCGATTAACAGGGTCCGGCCCGGGACCAGGGATTTGCAGGCCCTTGGCTTTGACCTAGAAAGCCCGAAGCTTTGAGATGGAAGGGTCAGAGATCCCTGGCCTTGGGATCCCTGGGATTTGGGTGATATCTTCTGCTGCCAGAAACAGGTGGTTCCCTAATTAAACCGTATATAAAAAGAATAGGTTTGTCAAGTTTTCCAAGGCTACCCCTTTGCAGGCCCCGCCCCCCCCAGAATAGCAGGAAACCCCCCCCGATTAACAGGGTCCGGCCCGGGACCAGGGATTTGCAGGCCCTTGGCTTTGACCTAGAAAGCCCGAGGCTTTGAGAATATATCAGGAATAGAAGGACTTTCGATTGGAGAATATCAGAGATATAAGGAATGAGGGTTGGAGAATATATCAAAGAAATAAGGATTTTCGATTGAAGAATATCCGAGATATAAGGAATGAGGATTGGAGAATATATCAGAGATATAAGGAATTTCGATTGGAGAATATCAGAGATATAAGGAATGAGGATTGGAGAATATATCAGAGATATAAAGAATTTCGATTGGAGAATATCCGAGATATAAGGAATGAGGATTGGAGAATATATCAGAGATATAAGGAATTTCGATTGGAGAATATCAGAGATATAAGGAATGAGGATTGGAGAATAGTTATATCAGAGACGGAAAACATGTTCATCACAGGCACATTTACATGCTTTCCCCATGCTGGCCTTGCTGATGGCTTCAGCAGAACTCAGCTCATCCCAATCGAACCATGAGTTTGATCGCTTGCTCAGCTCATTGTCTTCAGCAGCATCTAACTCGTCCCAATCGAAGAATGCAGAGGTCTTCAATTGCTCATGCTGGCGCTTGAGTCGTCGCTCCTTTTTCGCATGCGTCTTGAATGCCTTTCTCATGATGCTGCGAATCGCATGGTACTGCGAATGCCTTGTCAACTGCATGCTCAGAATGCTCTCATGCAGCCTCTGCCGCAAGCCCTCATCTCGAATGGGAGCTGGCATGATCTGAGGCATGGGCTCACTGCATGCTGCTTTCTTGTCTCTCACAACAGCATGCTTCTTCACTTCTCTCATGCCCTTGCTGCTGCGGCTCATGCTGTTGACATGCTCGTGCTGGTAAACATGCTGAGCAAACCCCAGTCTTCTCTGACTCATCAGACCATGAGAACCTCCCCATGAAGGAAAAATCACGAAGCTCCCAAGGCTCATTCATCTCATTCCACCTGTTCTCCAGCTCATCCCAGTCGAAGAACATGTCGTTCAAAGCAATGAGCTCATCTTCATCCTCATCTGGTTGCGACAGGATGGCAAACATGTTGTGGCATGTCACCTGCTCACGAAGACTGATGCTCCACACCATGGCGTGATACAGATGCACACTCACTTGAAAACCTATGTCATGAAAAAGGCACAATGTGAAACTTAATGAAACAAATGCCTAAAGCTCAAAATCACATTTTATCAAAAACTCATGCCCACAGCTCATCCACAATGCTTGTCATGCTCACAGCTGATCGAAAGCACTGCATGCAAGCGGTGTCATGCAGCTCATGCCCACAGCTCATCTAAGTCACTGCATTTGTGCGGCTTCATGCAGCTCATGCCCGCAGCAGTGTGTCAGGTTTGGGCTTTTAGGGTTTAGGGGTTATTTTCAAGGATTTATATAAGGTTTAGGGATTTAGGGTTTAGGGTTTAGCTACAAGGGTTTCAGGTTTAGGGTTTTAGGGTTTTAGGGTTTTAGGGTTTTAGGGTTTAATTGGTTAGAAGGCTTTAAGGTTTAGGGTTTTGGGGTTTAGGGTTTAGTTCGAAGGGTTTAAGGTTTAGGGTTTTAGGGTGTAGGGTTTATTCCGAAGGGTTTAAGGTTTAGGGTTTTAGGGTTTAGGGTTAAGTTAAAAGGGTTTAATTAAGGTTTAAGGTTGAGGGTCTAGGGTGTAGTTAAAGGGTTTAGGGATAAGGGCAGTATGGGGTTTGGAGTTTTGGCATTAACTACTTGGAGGATCATGGGAGTTAGTAAGTAAGGTTATAAGTACCCTAACTGGGGTTATAAGTATAGTTAATTACCCTAATTATAACCCTAGTTAATTACTAAGTCCCATGATCCTTTAAGTAAGGGCCCAACCCTCCCCATGTGTTTCGCTGCTCTCATGCGAAGATCAGAAAGCCATCCCCTCATCGCACCCATGAAAAATGCCATGCTGCTTCATGCATTGATTACTTACTCATGCGGCGCTATGCCGAGCTTAACCTGATCCTAAACCCTAAACCTTAATTAAACCCCAAACAAACCCAAAGACTAATCTTATCCCTAACTGAACTAATTAATGCAGCTCATGGCTGGCGTCATGGGTGCTTTTAAAAAAGCCCATCTCCTCATGGGATCTACAGCCTTATGGCTCATATACGAGCCCATCTCCTCATGGACTCATGGCCGGGCTGAGGGCTCATGCCTCCGCCTGAATGGGCATGAAATGCCCATGGAAGGACCGCATGATCGCTTTGGGCTCTGGCCCATGGGTCTCAACCCATGCTCTGAATTTGGCCGGCTCATGCTGGGAACGGCCCATGCCGTGCCAGCTTTTGATCAGCCAATGCTTGCCTCGGCTGAATCTTATTACTAGCTAACTAATAAAAAACCAGAACTTATTTCTCAATAATCTATTAACCGTAACAAATTATGGAAAATTGATACTTAAATTATTCCCTGAGCTGCCTCTCATGTCGCCCCACACAGTCTCCCATGATGCCAGCTCAAAGATCTCCGTCCTGAAAGGGGGGGGTTAATTGGGCCTTATGGGGTTTGGGCTCTAATTACTCTCAATTATGAAGGCTGTCCTCATGGCGGACTCCATGTTCTGCGTCACCTCGCTCATGACCATGTGCTTATCGCTGATCACATCATTGCGAGGATCATACAGCCTGGGTTTAGGGCTTAGGGTTTAATTATGTTAATTAAAGTAGGGGTTAAGTAGGGTTTACTTAGGAGGGTTTAATTAACCCTAATTAAACCTTAAACCCTAAACCCTAATCTAAAAAAACGAACTACTGCAGCATCCAGACTCATCGCTGTCATACTCATGGGTCCGGAACAATGCCAGGCTCACCTGCAGGGTTTAGGGTTTAGGGATAATTAGTTATGGTTGTGGGGTTAGGGTTTACAGGGGTTAGGGGGTTTTGTTTAGGGGTTTTTAGGGTTTCGGCAGGGGCCTCGACCCATGCCACCGTGCAAATGATGGGCCAATGGCGATGCAGCATGGGGTGGCTCATGACGATGTCGTACTCCTCATGCACGAACTCAAACCCCAAGCACTCCTAAACCCAATCCTAATTGCACCCTAAACCCTAATTAATTACTTATTATTTAAAAACACTAATACCAGGCGAGGAGCATAGAGCATCCATGTGTGGAGGAGCTCATCTCTCATCCACTGATCGCAGCGCCATTCCCTCATGTATGGGCTTCAGAGCTTAAAATATGTAATTTACATTCTTATTATGACTAATTAATTACTACTGACGGTCCGAGCCACTGCCAATTGACCAAAACCCATGATCGCCCCGCCATGAGCCTGGTGGCAACATGGCGGAGGCGATCGCGGAAACTGCCATGGACTTCGTCCTTGGCTCAAGACAAATGTAATTAAACCTGTAATACCTCATTAACTAAATAATTTAAAACACAAAAGATGCTTACTTATCCGGCCCATGACGGCTCGCCGCTCCATGTTATGGAGCAACCCATGGATCTGACTCATCAGCTGGCCCATCCTCGGCTCCAAATAACTAATGAATTACTAATGACCCAATCCTAAGTAATTAACCAAGTAATTACTCACAATTGCCAATCATGCCCCAGTCTCTCATCCATGGTTCCCATGGTTCCCTCGTTGCCGCTCATGTTGGAGCTCATGGCCAATGGGTGGGGATGCGGCGCTTATGCGGGCACTCTTGAGCTGATGGCAAGCTCATGGCCGGCCACATTTGAACCCCCAAACCCCTCAACCCCCTCAAGTCCTTGAACCCCTTCAAACCCCCAACCCCCTATTGTAATAATACTATACTACTGTACTTCTTCTATAGAAGCAGTACAGTAGTATAGTATTATTACAATAGTACTAGACTTCAATACTACTACTAAACTACTGTTCTACTATTATACTACTGTAATACTACTACTGTACTACTGTACTACTGTACTACTGTACTACTGTACTACTGTACTACTGTACTACTACTTAATCGGGGGGGGGCCGGTAAAAACTTGAACCCATGAACAAGTTCAAGCGGGCCAACCTTGGGGGGGGGGGGGGTTTGTTAATCGGTATCCAACATTAATGGCCCAAAACCTATAAAAGGCCATTATTCTACATACTTTTGGGGTCCAGGTAAGAACCCCCAACCCCGAAATGCCCGGAATAACACCAGAATCTTCCCGAAGGCCCGCAGCTGTCCTCCTCGTCCCGCGGCGGCACGCCTTGCGGAGACAGGAGCCTCAGGTCGGGATTGTGGCACATTGGTATGGGAGGTAACAAAGGGGCCTTAATGTTCCTTTAAAGGGGGTCCTTAAAGGGATACAATAAGGGATCTATACCGGTACTATATTTTAGGGGCCTTAATAATTAGGGGGCCCATTATACTGAAATTATAATAAGGAATAGTATAGGTAATTACTAGGGTCACTATATTATATACAGATATGGATGCATGTATGTACGCATAAATAGACAGACTGATAAAGAGATAGATAGATAGATAGGTAGAGACAAAGATAGAGACAGGTATAGATACAAATCAAGGTATAAATCTCTATGTATATATATATAGACATTGAAACAGATATAGAAGTAGATGCTTATCTGTATAAGGGTATATATATATGTAGATGTAGGTAATGATAGAGTGTATACATATATATATATATAATCTGGGGATCGGATAATAAGTTAGCTTATGAAGTCTTATGATGCCCTTATGTAGTTAACAGCGTTTTCTACACGGTTGGATGACTGGACTGTTGCGTGCGAGGTTGAAGGGTTTCGGGGGTTTCAGGGTTTCGAGATGGGAGTTTCCGAAAATTAGGGCTACTTTATTTTGGGGGTCCTTATAATCCGGATCCTATTATTCAGGGTACCATGTCAGGGTCCCCTATTTTCGGAAACCTCTCGGGGATGGATTTGCGTGGCGCATTTTCACTTTTGCTCATGCGTCTTACAGGAACCATGGGGTTAAGCAGAGTGGGCTTTGGCAACTGTTGTAGTGTCCCTCTCGCCCATTTACGGACTCATAGGCTAATTTGGAGGGCTTCGATGCGCGCTGCTAGGAATTGTATTTCCATAAACCCTAAACACCCTAAAGCCTAAACCAGCCCTCAACCCCCTAAGCCCTAACCTACGCCGGCTCCGAACCCAAGCCCAACCTACTGCCCTAAACCCTTATAGGCCTAATCAGCCCCTAAACCGCCTCCAGAGCATGCTTCGTAGGAGACAAAGCAACCCGAGCTTTCTCCCACACTGAGTTTCCATGCAAAATGCAAAATGCGGGTTTCTGAATATGAGCCTCCTGTCTTCTGAAGATCAGGATCTCTATGATAATCTTCAAGGAAGGGGGAGTCTGTCAATCAGAGGTCTACACCATTCTGCGAAGGACTCTACTGCAAAGGACATATTGTAGTAGGCAGTTTAAGCGGCTGAATATAGCAATTCGAATATGTAGGGATGCGGGGCATAGTATAGTCTCGCCATATTCGGGAGCCATTAGGAATACTATTGCTAATGCTTCGCCCTGTACGGCATGAAGACCTCTTAAAGAATCATGGGACTTAGTCACTAGGGTTATATTTAGGGTAACTACACTTACAACCCCAATCAAGGTACTTATATCCTTTCTAAGTAAGTCCCATGATCCTCCAAGCTCTATGATACCAGGGCTTTGGCTGCTTCGTTGCCGCCGCAATCTGAAGCGCCTCGTCAGAGGTCTACTTTCGAGTATTAAAAAAAACAAACCACGTCAAGGTCTTACGAACTTCGGATGGGGTCGACGAGTTTTGCAAAGTTTGCGAGTTTTCGAAGGCTTCAAGCCTTGTTGCAGGGGTTTCGGTAATCACGATTATGATACTTGTAACCCTCTATTACTTGTAGCCTACTTACTATGTCATGGATCATTCAAGTACCGTGTCCGGCTCAGTGGGTGCGGGGATGCGTCAAGGTTCATTTAAGGCTTCCGGTTCAGGGTCGCCGCTAGTAACTGTAAGACTTTTGGGTCCGTGCACCCTATGTCCTTCGGCCGAGTCACCCCTGAACCCTAAATGCCTGGCAGGTAATCTGACTGCCGGGCTGAGGATTGAACCCGGCTTTCGGACGCAGG